CTTGAATTGCTAAATGCGCCACCTGTTGGAACTATTCCCTCAAGGCTGTTAAAGGACAAATTGAGAAGCTGCAAAGAGTCAAAGGACTCAAAGAAGTCTGGGATTTCGCCGGACAAGTTGTTCCGAGAAAGGTCCATCTCAGTAATGCCTCTTAAGCTCATGAGGGATTCTGGGATGCTCCCACGAAGAAAGTTCACCTCTAGTCGAAGCGATTCTAAATGAAGGCACTCACCAACTGCATGTGGAATATCTCCAGATAACTGGTTGTTGGAAATATTAAGGGAGTCGAGATTAATCAAGCTGCCAATCTCAGATGGTATGGATCCGTTGAGTTTATTATAAGACAAATCTAGGCTCTTTGAAAGAGTGGAAATAGACATGAGCCCAGGTGGAATACTCCCATGGAAATCATTGCATGAGAGGTTTAGCAGTACCAAATTTTGGCAGTCTGCTAAGCTTGAAGGTATGGATCCAGTCAAGTTGTTTTCTTCGAGATAAAGCTCACCAAGATTTTTTAAGTTACCAACTGACTGCGGGATTTTTCCAGAAAGTTTGTTCCGTGACAAACCTAGAAGAAACAAGTTCTTGAGGTTTCCGAGTGTGTCAGGAATCCCCCCAGAGAGAAAGTTCCCACCAAGTTGAAGAACTGTGAGGTTTGTGAGTTTTGCTATCTCTGAAGGTATGGTCCCAGTAAATCTGTTTTCTGATAGATACAACTTCTGTAAGCTTCTTGGAAGATTTCCCATGGAACTAGGTAATTTTCCATGAAGCTTGTTGTAATCCAGATAAATTGCCTGCAACTGGGCAGAGCCTGGTACTGAGGACAAAGTACTCCAATCTACAGCCTCAAACTGGTTGGTACCAAGGTCCAATTGGATCAAGTTGGGCAAGGACCAGAAAGAAGGAATCAAACCAGTGAATGCGTTATCACGGAGCTCAAGCACTTGAAGGTTGGATAAGTTAACTAATGATATAGGAAGTGGACCATCGAAATGGTTTCCTTCCATGACCAATGTCTCAATGCTGGGAAGTGTGTATGCAATATCTATCGGAATTCTCCCAGAAAGTTGGTTGTTACCAAGGCCAAGATAAGTGAGAGATGTGACTCTGTAAAGAGCTGGTGGGACTGCACCAGACAAGTTGTTGTATGACAAATCAAGTGCTTGCAAAATCGGAATCTTAGCTAAACTCTCCGGAATGCTTCCTTGCAGCCTATTCTGAGCAAGTGTCAAAGAATATAGGTTAGAAATGTTTCCTAGTGTGTCAGGAATTTTTCCTGAGAGGTTGTTTCCTGTCAGGCTGACATACTGTAGCTGGGAGGCTATCAGTGAGGAAGATGGTATTGGTCCGGAGAATTGATTATATGAGAGATCTAAGATAGCAAGAGATGGGTTACTAAAGAGTCCTAGAGGAATCTCTCCATCAAAGCTATTTCTCATGAGGTCAAGGTAGTTAAGTGAAGAGCAATTTGCTAGCAGAGGTGGAATTCCACCAGTTAGGCTATTATTCGACAGGACGACATTGAGCAATGGGCTACCTCCCAAAGATTCAGGAATTGGACCCTTCAGATTGTTGCTCGGCAGAAACAGGTATGTAAGGTTGGGAAGCAAGCCAATTCCATGAGGGATACTGCCATTAAGGTTGTTATTGCTAAGAACAATTTCGCGAAGAGACGAGCATTGTGCAAGCGCTGGAGGGATTGCACCTTCGATCGAGTTGTTCCACAGGTGGATGACCTCGAGGTGCGAACATGAGGATATGGTATTCGGAATCACCCCTGTGATGGAATTCATGCTAAGGTCTATGACCTTGAGGCGTGAACATGACGATATGGTAGTCGGAATCACCCCCGTGATTGAATTCATCCTAAGGTCGATGACCTCGAGGAGGGTGCATGACGATATGCTATTTGGAATCATCCCTGTAATGGAATTCATGCTAAGGTTGAGGTACCTGAGTTGGGTTAGGCGGCTTATCTCGGGAGGTATGTGGCCATTGATTTGGTTGTCTGCCATGTGGGTTTCATGGAGGAAAAGAAGGTCAGAAATGCAAGGAAATATTTGGCCGGTGATGTTCAAAGAATCAAGATGAAGGGAAACAACACGAGCTGCATGCACAGTACTGCATGTCACCCCTCGCCAATCACAGAACGATAATGACTCGTTTCTCCAGCAGGGTCAGAGAGGTGCGACCTTAGACATAGAAGGGCATGCCTATCGGTTTCGGAAGCATTGTGGAGTGCAGGTGTGGCTAAGGAGCAGACACGGGGACAGAAGCTCACCAAGCAGATGAGCGTTGCAGCAAGACGTGGCAGCATCTTGTTTCGAGCTCCTACTTCACCCATCTCGTGTATGCTGCTAGATGTTAAGCAATTTGTGTGTGTGATCGTTTAGTTTAATTGAAATCTGCCGGTATTTATAGTGGGCGTGGGCCAATTCACAAGTATGTATGGGCGTTGAATAGGAGGCAAGAAACCAACAAGTCACTGTGCGCTAGAACGCCACTTGTTTTGACCCTGACCATACAATAGATGATTGCTCTGCCTCTGCCACTTGCAACCACAGCTTGACCATATGCATTAGTGAGTGATGGATTGATTGTGATCCACTCACATAGATTTGCTAGCCAGCACTATTCAGTATTCATGTCCAAGTTCACTACATATATACCTGTTTCGTATTCTTGTATAGGAGAACATTCTGGGTATCTATTATGCCAACTTATTTCTAGAAACCCAAAAGATACTAAAGAGATGAAAAATATAAATCATAGGACTAGGAAGTGCTGTTTGAAAGATTGAACATGTTATTACCGTGAAACAAGACCTAGAAAGCTCTCATGGGTGCTTTCCATCTCCAGCATAGCCCAGTTTGTTTGCGGCTAAAGTATTTGCTCTCTTTTTTTTTTGTCGTGTGCAAAATTCGCTTATTAACAAAGACCAGAAGATATATACTTTAGCCACAAACATGGTCTTAGCTCTCTATTTGTCGATCCTTCTCATGTGCATACGAACATGTACGATGAGAAAAAAAAATAGATGTTTTTAACGATTTTATTGTTCACATCAGGAGCATATTGTTCTGGGTGACAAGTCACTATCCCCGACGACCAGTGCGCTTTCATTGCTCACAGCTATTTGTCCTGTACCGCCTCCTTATTTGACTGATGTTACTATCCTGTTGATTTTTCATATAGTGCAGATGTGACATTGCATTGACGGTGACCCTGCACACACTGCACCATTTGGTGGTTTACAGGACCATTTTTCTTCCAAGAATTAGACAATTCTTGACTGTCAACATCTTTGGGCCCAATATTCCTGTAAGTTGCAGACCCGCAAGAGAAACACTGGCCTAAAGACTTCTGTCTTGTTCAGTTGCCATATAGCTTAACATCTACAACTACTCCCTCCGTTCTAAAATAGATGACCCAATTCTGTACTAACTTTAGTATAAAGTTGGGTCATCTATTTTGGAACGGAGGGAGTATATTATACACTGAATTAATGTATCACTTTATTCATTGTGCTGCTGTGCATTGCAGGGTCAGTGATGACTGATGAATTTGTAATTTCATTTCCTTCCCACTGAAGTTAGACCCTCTTTGGATCAGGTGAATCTGTAAGTCTTTCTTAATATTTTTCATTTCCTCGTTGGAATGTGTTGTGGTGATTATTATGTGTGGACTTGGAAGTCGGTCCTCGAGTGTGTCGCGTCGTCATTTACTCAGTCTCTACGTGCATGAGTGCATGAGTGCGTGGATGACCCGCGGACCTGGAGTCACAAGATGCGTGTGCAGCTGCCAATGATTGACCGGCTGTGGCTGACCGCCGGTCTCCGGCGCTAGCCCGCCGCGCACGCAGGCGTCCCACTGACCACTGACGTACTCTACCATATATACAGGCATGCCGCTTGCCCCGTCCTCTGAGAAAGTGAGCATATATATAAGTAAATTATACTGTAAGAGCCAGCACTTGTGCCTCGCGAGCTCGTGGAGAGCGCGAGGGAAATCGATCTGGGCGCATGCCTAAGAGGAAAAGTGGCTTGCTCCCAGTCGCAGCCCTGTTGCTGGCGGCCCTGCTACTATGCGCAGTCGGAGCCGGCGCAGGCCACACGCACCCACCCATACTCCCGGACCCGGATATTCCATGTACGTACCATATGGCGATATAATTTATGACTTTCTCCTTTTTAAATACACCTAGTAGATATGAGAATTCCGCTTGATTGATTAGTACCGTATGAACAAATTCTCAAAGCCCATAACTACAAATTTTTTAAATAAATCACTGCATGCGTCTACACTTATAAACATCGTGTCAAGCTCACACTTATAAACATCGGATCCAGTTATATGAGAAAACTCCCTCAAAAAAAAAGTTATATGACAAAACACTTGACAGCAAAAAATTATAAATTTGCAGCATCTTTATTTGGAAAATGAACATGGAAATGCATATGTATATAGCATGATATGTCATCCTGCAATATTAGGTCACATTCTGTCAGCACCATCTATGGAAGTGTTAACGATGATGTGCATCAGATGTGTATCAAGTATCAGTTCAGACGATCAGTTGTTGTCATATTTTTATCTGGGTATTTGACGACATAATAAGAGGGCTAATTGGACACTGATGAATTGTTATCGTTTCGACGACAGAACTTTTAAACGATATAAAAAAGCAATGAAAGAAACCATGAAAGAACCCCTCCATATTTACACGCCCTAGTCAGCTAGTCTGCAGCACAGAGACAGGCTCGAACACTACCAAGTTTGATCTAACAAAGTACACACACACGCACACATATCATATCTCAGTTTCTTGGGTAGCTCCATCCTTCCTCGTACTCGCACGCCATCTTACTGAAGTCTACGACATATCCATCCACAAACTTCTGAGCAATCTCCATGGATGTTAGGAGATTGTGCAGAAGTTTCCTGGTTACATCGGCAGAAGTTCCACATCCAACCCTTTAGGGGACGGTGGAATCGCAGCCTCAGAAGTCCAAAGGTGGCGTTTCCTGGTACATCGGCAGGACATAGGTCAGTACTTCAACATGCCATATCATCATCAGCTGGATTAGTTAGACTATGCCAAATAGGAGGAGAACCTAATCCACTTGTATTTCAATCAGACGCCAATAAAATCTAAGTCTGAAGACTGAAGGTCATACATCTGTGAGCAAAACTGTCCACGGAGACACCCTTAAAACTCACTAGTATACACTGAGTTCTTTTTACAGGTATAGACCAATATCAATCCTAATCCCATTGAAAGTATGACCAGATTCATTGGTACAAGTAAAATATAATATGTACATACATAAGCAAATAATCTCACCTATGGCTTAATAGAAATACATGACTTTGATATGAGGAAAATCTAAGCAAGGGGTGGGACTACTTTCCAACTATTTTAAACATCAACACTGTTTGGGCATTATCCCGAAGTAAGATGAAGAACTTACCTTGTGCAACAGGTCATGGGCAATGAAGTCCCAAGGAAGAGATACTGACATCAAACAACACTTGAGAGGAAGAAGCTTATGGTCCGGTCGTTTGTTGGCAGATGCAGCCTCGAAGGCCTGCTCTGCAAACTTTGATGCAGCAGAAGCCGCCTTGCGAACAAGAACCCGGAAGTTATCTCCTGGATCTTTCTTTGATCTCTCGTGGCTCTGATCTAATTAAGGGAGAAAAAACATTTCAGCTTAACAAGTCAGACAACTTGCAGTAGAGCTACAGCAAAACAGAAAGTGCATTGGGCATATTTGAGGTTGTGTATAAAGTTTGTTTGCTCATAACTTTAGTCAGCGATGCAAATTGTAAACCAGATTGCACAGAGAAGTGGGACAGTTTGCAGAGTATAGACAGAGCATATAAAACCTGGAATCCCAGAAACAGCAACTTCAACTTCCCCACGTCCTTCAGGGCCCCTCATGAAAAGTTTATCAAGTTTAGTATTGTCCTGCCCAAGTGAGAGGAAGCTCCCAAATTTGGATCTGCCAGCTGAATAACATTAGGAGAAGTATATGTTAGAAAACAATAAAATCTATCAAAATCTCAAAAAGGACATCACCTATATAGGCCGAGCAAAGTGTCAACCAGTTAGAAGTAGTAGTATTACTAAAGACTGAATCATGCTTAGTTGCAGAGAACAAAATACTCGGAGAAACAATATTTGATAATAGGACCACAAGCGCAATATTTTCCTTGTAAATAAAGTAAATGAATGAAAGACTAACCATCATAAGCTTCACGGACATTTTGATAGCTGACATAGCCTGAGAAGAGAGTTCTCTGCAACAGAAATCATAGTAAGCTCCATGTAACCAAATAAGCGTGAAATCCAGGATTCCTTTTCATAAGGATGAGAAGTGTGCTAGTGGTTTCAATGTTAAGTGTAAAATGGATTTTGGAGAGTTGCATCACAGAGTAACATGGATTTTTTCCTAAAGGGACAGGTGTTACTGGCAAATTCTGCATACAGTCAGAAATATCTCCCAGAAGCAGACAGATTCTCAAGTATAACTAGATTTTAAGCAGCAAGTAATGCGGACATGAAGAGAGTAGTCTAAATATAGATCAATAAAAAAATAGGGAGCAGACAGGTAGATATTTGCAGTACTTATAAGCGGCCCTTGGCCTTACTGTGGGCGGAATCCCACTGAAGCTGCAGGTTAGAACAAAACAGAGGAGAGAAGAGAGAAGGGCTGGCTGCGAAAGCTGCTTCACACGACAGAGCACAGACAACAGTTGTACAGTTTAGGGATGGATTTTGTAAAATAGATGAACTATTAGAGAAGATATCTGGTCGACCCCCTGAACAATACACATCGCTATAGTTCAGGGGGTTGTCTGGACATCTTCTCTACCAATATTATCTTACATAATGAATCTGAAGAAGGTTACAAAGAAACCTTCATTTAGGAAGAGAGTGAACCTTTGGTGGGTTCTCTCCACTGCTCCCAGAGTTGAACCCAGATTGTACATTTGAGACGTTGCTTGCTTCAGTTTCTTCAGGAAATGCTGCCCCATCATGCGCATTGAGAATCACACAATAGCAGTGTTCTGGGTCTGACAAAACCTGCTCAAATTTACAAGACCAGTTTACTCTTTATGGTCAACTTAGAAAGTATATGGTCAAAGTCATCTAAAGGAAAACCAAGGAATATCACTGATAAAACCGTAGGCATCTACAACATTTGCAAAGTATTGCCAGAACACGATGTTATGCAATTTTTGGGAGAAGTAAATCAGAACTCACCACAGCATCAAAAGGATCATCGAAGTCATCAACTGAGAAATAAATGTTGGGATATGCAGGTACTGTTTCTACAGCCTATTAAAGAGATATGAGTTATGACAGATTATTTATATTGAAAGGCTGTTTCTCTGAAAAGATGATACCAGAAAAAAATTACCTTTCTTTGATCAAGGCGGAAATTTACACGGCTAGGGGATGCATATACAGTTTTCGAAACCTTATAAATTGGAGGCGACCACTTGCTTTTGTCTGCACGATTGCGAAGATTGCTGATACTGTGGAAGTAGATTATAAGAAGCACATAACCAGCCATTAAATATTACTGAGGGGAGTTATGAAAAAAAAAAGCTTTGTTGTGCATGACAATTGATACTATTGGCACTCTTAAGATTTGTGAGTCCCTTAACATTCCAGCGCAAACTCATGCTGAAAAATAAATTTGTGGTCACAAATTGTTCAGTCAGCTAATGAAAAAAGTGTGATTGTACCACCAACCCAGACCGGTTTCTCAACATTTAGTTGAAGCAGAGAATGCTGTTTCAATATGGAATTAGATGACATGACAATAATTATTTGCCAACCGTCTCAGATTTTGATAAAGGGTGAGAAACTATGAACCAAAAATCTGGAAGTTCTTTAACTGACTATAGCTAACAGACTAAAAGTGCTGCATTTATATTAATATAAGATTTACTTCATGTAGCACCCCGTTGCCATTGGCGATCTGCCGAGACGTGATGAGGAGAAGAAGAGGAATAATAGAGAATAGAAGGATAATTGGTAGATTTCCCTATATTTGTGCAACTTAACCATTCTCTGGGTACAGATTGGCTCATATACCCTACAGCTCAATACATGGCCACATCCACACTGAACACACACACAATCTGTGCCACCATTATTATGGCTCTTCTATAACGTGGCGCCTCCTGAATATATGTCTCTACTCCGGTGTCTTGCACACCAGCCGTGACACCTCAATAGATCACCAGAAAAGGTTTTTAGTTGTTCTTATGCATAGTTATAGCTAATTAATTGTTCTGAGCATACAGAGCTTGTAAGATCCTAGCAAAAGTGCCATAGAAACATACCTGCACAATGCCACTGTGACAGTATATGACGTGTGAGCGACTAAATTCAAATAGAAGGAACGTTCCCAATCAACCTCAGTTGAATTAGCATTGATGAGCTTTTCAAGCTGGCAATTGCAAAAAAGGAGCATATTTAGCCCAGTAATTCAACAGAAAGTAATTGTTCTTATCATGGGTTCTCCAACTAACACTATGTTAACCAGATAAGACATAAAAGAACACCGATAAGGATTTCCCCATTGTCACTAGTCTTAAAAATTACACCTCACAAACATGAAAATTACTGTATTGAGTGTTCATCTGTTCATGCATACAAAGTTACAAATGGTAAGGGATCTAACATTGTCGTCATGCAACTCACAGATAAAATTTTCCAGTACTGTATGTATGTTCATTACAGTTATACATATGAAAATTGTGTAGCATGTACCAAAAAAAAAGGCTCCTTCAGCAGTTAAGAACAACAAATTAGAATAAATTTTCTATATACATAGGGTCAATGAAATAAAACAATGGGAACATTTTCCCTTAAAAAACAGTTTATTTTAACAATAGTTACAAAAACTGTGAGCTTAACTGAATACAGAGCACACTTGTTATGGTTGCAACTGAATTTAACTCAACAGTAGAGAACATACAAATACAAAAAAAGTGAAGAAAGAACAAATAAATTTTATAAAATTTTCTTGAATCTACACTACCAAGGAAGCCTCAAGAATTAGCCAAAAAATCTGAAGTAAATTGGATGTAGTGTAGCTTCATTTACCGTAGGAGCCCATCTCCGCACGAAAAAGGGAGGCAGATCTTCCATTTTCTGCATCTACAGCCAGCAGCAACAAACGGTGATATGCATATTGCACAGGGCAACAACATATCATGCTAACATAAGGGGAAAATCAGCAGGCCTATAGAAGGTACCGTGCTATTGACAAAGAAGACGAGGTCGTCCTCCTCCCTGCTCCTTGACACCCTACCACGCACGAAGAAAAGATCAAGCATCTCATGCCAGAACTTATCATCCATCTCGACGTCCGACGGATCGTCCTCGGCCTCGACGACTGTCCACCCGATCAGATGCGAGTGCTTCTTCACCATGCTGAGCAATTCGGCCCTGAAAACAGAAACACGTACAAGACAGCAGATCATATATTCTGCAAAGCATGCGCATAGTATACTATTTTTATCAAGGTGATGCCCACAGAAAACCGGATCATCCAGTTGCACTGCAGAACAGCGACGGTGTTCGAGAAGGCCACTACCGAAGTACTCCCTCCGTTCCAAAATAGATGACTCAACTTTATACTAACTTTAGTATAAAGTTAGTACAAAGTTGGGTCATCTATTTTGGAACGGAGGGAGTACGTACAAGCAGTCGGCACAGCTACGCTGAGGCCAAATTGGAAGCCGTAACTCTTAACTTGTCAACCCTGGCTAGTCGTGGGCGGTTGCGCCGATCGGAATTTTGGCTTCTACTATGATCGAATTGTGCGTGCTGGAGCTACAAACCGGAGAGGGGAGAAGAGGCAGAGAGATGGGGAGACGGCGCATACCTCGAGGGCGCTGCCTGGCCGTCGCCGCCGGTTAGGTCAGTAGGCGATCTCTCGACGCGGACCTCCCCGGACGGCGAGGAGGTGGAAGGCGGCGCCGCCATCGCGCGGCACGGCAACTGGGGAGGAAGGGGATCAGGAGGGGACGCGCGTGGGAAGCAACCGCCAATTCCCCCGCGGGATATTCTTACCCCGAGAACCACGCACGCGTCTCCGGAAGCAGGAGAAGGACCCGATGCCCGGCAGCGGAGGCGACTCGACTGGGGGGAGGGGAGCGGAGCAGGGGAGGAAGACGGGCGAGCGGATCTCCGGCGCCGGTCGCCAACACGTGGCACGCCAGCCGCGGAGACGTGGCGCGTCGCGTCTGCCAGCGCACCCGAACCCGACGGATCGGTCCAGACCCGGCACACCGCACCGCACGCCAGCTCACCAGCCCAGCCTTTCCTCTATCCCCTCCCCTAAATAACCCCGCCGTACCGCTCCGCCATGGCCGCCGCCGCCACACTCCGCTCCGCCCTCCTCCTCTCCCCCGCCCCCTCCCGCGCCCTCCGCCGCCTCGCCTCCGCCTCCTCCGCGCCGCGCGCCCCCCGCCTCGCGCAGCCCCAGGTCTCCGCGGTTCCCCGCTCGCTTGCTCGTTCGCGGGTTCCGTTCGCACTTCCGCTCACGGTTTCTGATCGGGGTTCTGCAGGGGTTCGCCCGGGCTCGCCGGTCCTACCCGGCCGCGTTCGCCGCCATGTCGACGTCGTCGGGGGCCAAGGAGGCGCCGGCCAACAACCCGGGCCTCCACGCCGAGGCCGACCCCGCCACCAAGGGCTACATCATGCAGCAGACTGTAAGCCACCCCCTCCCTTTGCTTCGTACCACGTTCAGCCGCGGATTCAGCTGGTATTCGTGTTATTGGATTCAGTTTTGCGCTTCTCCGGGTTTGATTTGTGGAGTGGAAGAGAGTTTGTGGCTGGATTTGGCAGAAGCAATCTGTCGAACACTTGGTGGTCCGTGGGTGCTTGTAGCTTCAGGGCTATAAAAATTGGGAGAAAGCAACACTTGCCGAGGCCGAAGTGATGGGTGCTGTTAGTTCCATGTGATGTGATAATTTCGAGCAGTGTTGGTTTTGCAGCTGCAGAGTTAACTTATCATCCTTCTCTGTTCATTTCAACACTTGTGGTATGGAGTTGTTCTCCCTAATGCTGGAAACTACTCCCTCCGTCCCATGATATAAGAGCGTTTTTGACACTGTGCAGTGTCAAAAACGCTCTTATATTATGGGACGGGGGGAATATGTGTTTGGGTGGTACCATAGGCAGTTCATCAAAGGCTTTCATAGGCTTGTATTTTTGATAGGGGTGCTTTGAATGCTCCGCAATAGACTGAGGAAATTTTTGGTGTTAATGTACTAGGCCAAGAAACTTCAGTTGTTCTGCAATTGATTATTGATCCAACAGTTGGTGGACCAGCTTGTTGCTAGCAGCATTTCAGGTTGTCCCAATCGGTTGCTATTACCATAATTAATTTTTCTCTCTCTTCTTTTTTGCTTATAGATGTTCCGCGTGAAGGACCCAAAAGTGAGCCTTGACTTCTACTCGCGTGTGATGGGCATGTCGTGAGTTCTCTTTCTTTTGTCTTCCTTCAAATGATGTGTTTGTGCATGTGAGTAGGACATCCATGGGTCATCTATTTCCTTAATGAAATCTGTAAATGTTCTATTTTTTTTTTTTTGGATTTTCAAGGAAAGCTAGTATCATTGCATATCAAGTCATGCTCTGAATTTTCTCCTATTGTATGTCTGGCAAACTAACATGAGTAATAGTGTGCGTAGTTGCGTGGAAATGTGGTAATTCCGTAATTGGTACCTGGAGCAACAAGGATCTGACCCAAAAGGGAATAGGCTGTATATTTCAGTTCTATTGCACAACAGAAAGCTCAAGGCCTTAGTTTTGGCCTCTTGCTAGATGTGTTCCAAATTCTTATAATTTATCACATGTCTATTTTGTATAAAAAGGCATTGAAGTTATAAATTCTCAAGTATACAAGCAGGAAGCAGAAGGCTACGATTAGTGACTAAGAGGTTTCATAGACATGCTAATGAAGGAATTTCAGAGTGTCTCAAATGTAGTTTTACACTATGAGTGTGCATCAAAACCATACTGCGCTGTCATGCTATATTAACTGTTTGTTGTTTCTTTTATGTTTTGTTAACAAAACCAGGTTGCTGAAAAGGTTGGATTTTGCTGAGATGAAATTCAGTTTGTATTTTCTTGGTTACGAGGTAAGAGTTTCTTGATTAGGGGAACAATAAATCATTTGAACGTGACAATTTACTTGAATGAGCTAACGCCTCTGGTTCTTTACCTTGCCATTGCCGATAGGATTTGTCTGCAGCCCCTGCTGATCCTGTCCAGCGGACTGGATGGACTTTTGGGCAAAAGGCTACAATCGAGCTCACTCAGTATGTTCTGTTACTTTTCATTATTTTCTTTATCTGAGTGAAGATGTCCTTGATTGTTTCTCAGTAGCACCAACCACCCACTAATATATTAATAAACTTTTGGTTTCACTGTAGCAACTGGGGCACAGAAAGTGATCCTGAATTCAAAGGGTACCATAATGGGAACTCAGACCCTCGTGGATTCGGTATGTGCAAAAAAAAAAAATCTTGCCTAAAAATGTTACCGCTGCTTTTGCTTAAACTCACCATGATCTCTTAGATGCTGCAACACTCATGTCTTATTTTTGTTTATTCAGGCCATATAGGGGTAACTGTGGATGATGTTTATAAGGCATGTGAGCGCTTCGAACGTCTTGGGGTAGAGTTTGTGAAGAAACCAGATGATGGTAAAACTATGTTGCTTACTACTTTTACATCGTCAATATTATGTGGTCTACTGGTGTTGCATATGGCATTGATATCGAACTTCCAATAGAAATCACGGCCAATATTAAAGGAGAAAGCAAGAAACTTAGTTAAAAGACTTATATCCATAGGACTGTCATGTTAACTATGGTATTATTTGAGTTATTCTGTTTATTTATTTTTGGGGTGGTGGTAAGCGCTTTTATGTTGGTGTCCACCATTATTCATTGCTGTTACCTGGAATTGTCCTCAACTACTGATTTGTTTCATTATTTGAGTTGTTCCGGCAATATCGATA